TTTAATCCCGACGAAACTGTCCTTATTTGGCCACTTGATATTACAAGGTTTATGCTTATTTTGATATCATTTAAATTACACATGCCAACCTATGTGGGTAAGACAATTTTATTCCAGTGGTTTTGGAGTTTATTTATTTAAACACAAACATTAGTACAGCGAGGCGCCAAACATATTTGCACCACACAAATAGATGATTTGTGTGAGGGCCGGAATACTGTCCAAACCGAAGTAGGTGGTCTGGGGAGTTAATCGAAATGGCATGTGGTCATATTAACTTGATAACTACTCATATCAAAGCGCACTGTACTCCGGAATCGCCTAACAAATGCTGGGTCCATAAACTAGTAATTGCTTTTTTATCATGCTCCAAATGAGTTATTAAAGTGACTGTGGCGCTCCCCTGTACCAATATTCATGTGTCCAAATAAATAATTTCGCTAATGATCCGTATTTGATTCGGAACAACCATTTTTCTTGTTAACTCCTTTGTCGGATAGCGTAGTAGACTGGGAAGCCGTGAAACTAAGAAAGTAGTTATTATATGTGAAAATTATATTTGAAATATTCTCAGCGATTGAAATATAACTAATTCCAACGTTTCGTCCAGCTAACTTGTCTGGACTTCTTCAGGGTAATAATCAAAATCATTATCAATGATTGTTTAGAATCTGATTTAGATTTGAATTTACGATGCCCATTAGATCCATCAGAGGTTATAAAATGCTTAGAATTATGTTTAAGATCTACCTTATTCATATTTCGAGGTCAACTTTACAGACAGAAAGAGGGTATAGCAATGGGCTCACCAGTTTCTCCGATTGTAGCGAATTTGTTCATGCATTCCCTAGAAACTAGTGCAATCGCAAAGAGTTTATGTCCACCAAAGTTATGATTAAGGTATGTAGACGATATTTTTATTATCAATAAACGAGATGGTATGGAAGAACTATTTAACAATGCAAACAGCATTTCTGAAAACATTAAACTAACTAAGGAATTAGAATCAGTTGACCACAAACTAGCATTTCTAGATTGTCTGGTTGAACGTCGACTCAATAATAAGAAGTTAAAAATAAATGTTCACAGAAAATCAACACATTCCGAGAGATACTTGGATTTTAATTCAGCCCATTCACAGAGCACGAAAATTAATGTAGTGAAAAATCTAATGAACAGAAGTACTAAGATTGTTACAGACAAGGAAGACCAAAGAACCGAATTAAATAAAGTATTTTCTACTCTGAGGGATAACAACTACCCAAAAAGGTTTTTAAAAAAGATTATTAAAAATGAAAGAAAAACTAAACTAGAAAGTATACGAAAAGAATGGAAGTACACCGTAGTCATACCTTACCGGAGTGAAACATCAGAAGAAATCAAACGGATTCTAAACAAACATGATATAAGAGTGTATTTTAGAGCAAATAACACATTAAGATCGACATTGGTGAAAGTTAAGGACAAGTTAGCAAAGGAAGAACAACAGAACATTGTGTATGAGATTCACTGTCATGACTGTAATGCTACCTATGTTGGAGAAACATCCAGGCAATTGAATGTAAGATTGAAGGAACACAAACAATGCTTGAAAAATGTTCCAAAATCCTCGGTAGATTTAAAGAAACTTGAAAATAAGTCAGCGATAGCGTTACATGCGTTAGAAACAGGACACAAGATTAATTTTGAAGGGACCAAAATACTCCATAAAGAAAGATTGACAGCAGAAGCTCTGCATATATGGGCGAACAAGAACAGCCTGAACCGAAAAGATGGTATTCAAATGGCAACTACCTGGCAAATTCCGTTTGACAAGTAAATTTGGAACCTATCTCTTGTTTAAACCTGTTTTTAATGTCACATGCATCGTTATTATTATTGAAAGAACTGAATGAGTTTCTAAACAATACAATTTATGTTTTGACATGCACATCTATCTTTCATTATCAAGTTTTTCATCCTTGAACTTGAACTTTATTTATTCCTTCATATCAATCTCTCACACATGCATACATACATACACACTCACACACATACGATTTGTTACTCAGTTAAGTATTTCCATGTAGTTGAATTCATCACATGATTTGTAGTCAACTGACTCATTTTATCCTATTTTACAAAAAATCAACACCCAAATATGATTGGTTTAACACAGTATAATCCTGATTGTTAAAAGCTATATATTTCTTTGATAATTTTGATTTTGATTATTACCCTGAAGAAGTCCAGACAAGTTAGCTGGACGAAACGTTGGAATTAGTTATATTTCAATCGCTGAGAATATTTCAAATATAATTTTCACATATAATGACTTCTCTATACTCGGCGCTCAATTACTGTCAAACTATTCGTTCTAATCTTGACGAATATTCGTATAAGAAAGTAGTTTGTGCAGTCACTGTTGGACTAAAACTCATTGTGAAATATAAACTTTCTAAACAAAGTTTGCGTAAGCAACGATGTGCTTTCTACTACAATTCATATGATTGTCCTTTTCAGTTTGCATCTCATTAATTTTTCTCGACCATGAGGTGAGCTGTTGGAACTTGAAACGATGAATATTGGTGCCACGTTTCACTGTCAACGAACGAATGTCTCATGGTGCTGGGACTAGAGAATATTAATTAGGAAGCTCGGAAACCGATAGTACTTACAAGATACCAATACGACAAAAGTCTAACATACTGTCAGTCTTGACGGAAGTACTTTTCCTCACTCAGTCGAATGTAGCCTAGAGCCTGTAACATATATGCATCGATCCAAGTTGGCAGACTATATGGTAGATGACTGGTAATAATAATAAAAATATACATTTGGACGTGAAAGGAAAACGGCCGACATTTTATATAGATCTTTACACATCTTTTACAATCCACTAGTCGACTAAAGTTCAACTGAGAAGCAAGTATTACTAAAGTACCAAACACAAGTTCGCTAGAATTGGAGACTACCTAGCATATCGTTTCTAGCTATCCTTGAATGTATAGCCACATTGTTGGCAAATGAGCTGGCTAACTTTTAATGAAGATTTATAATAGCTGTTAGTCCACCAAGCCTCTATAAACAGGCAACCATTCTAGAAGTTAGGCATGAGAAATAGCAATTACGTGCATGAGCCAAACTCTAGAATAAAAGGGTATCCAATTCATCTCGTTTCAAAAGTAGTCAATACACAAGCATGTATCACAAGCTATTTGACTTAATAGTCATGTTTGTATTGATTTCCATAATCATAAATATGCAGGCTTTTTAACACACTATGTTACTATTGTGGTCCGACGAGGTACGGTGATAATGTAGTTTGATGCATTTTAGGTGCAGCCGACGAGACGACCCTACATTTGTGGAATTTTTTAATCAATTAAACCTTGTTAAGACAAAAATTACTAGGCAAATATGGCTACATACGGAGTAGGATTGGTCGATCGTAACCTTTGATTACTCGTCACTATACATCAACTTCATTGATTATGAAAAGGCATTCGACAGTGTAGATAGGAGGACATTATGGAAACTTCGACACTACGGAGTTCCTGAGAAGATTGTCAATATTATCCGGAACTCATACGACGGACTACAATGCAAGGTCGTGCATGGAGGACAGCTGACAGATGCATTCCAAGTAAGGACCGGAGTCAGACAAGGCTGTTTACTCTCTCCCTTCCTCTTTCTTCTGGTGGTCGACTGGATTATGAAGACCTCAACATCTGAAGGAAAACACGGAATACGATGGACAGCTCAGAATCAATTAGACGATTTGGACTTCGCAGATGACCTAGCTCTCCTATCGCGTACACACGAACAAATGCAGATGGAGACAGCCAGTGTAGCAGCAGTCTCTGCATCAGTAGGCCTCAACATACACAACGGGAAAACGAAGGTCCTCAAATTCAAAGCGGAGAACAGCAATCCAATCACACTTCATGGCGAAACTCTGGAAGATGTAGAGTCCTTCATATACCTAGGAAGCATCGTCGATGGACAAGGAGGTTCATATGCAGACGTAAAGGCGAGGATTGGCAAAGCAAGGGTCGCATTCCTTCAACTGAAGAACATATGGAACTCAACTTTCAACCAATATCAAAGTGAGAATCATCAATACGAACGTCAAGGCAGTTCTACTGTATGGAGCTGAAACTTGGAGAACTACAACAACCACAATCAAGAAAGTACAAGTATTTATAAATAGTTGTCTACGCAAGATACTCAACATCCATTGGCCGGATACTATCAGCAATAGCCTTCTGTGGGAGAGAACAGACCAGCTTCCAGCTGAAGAAATTAGGAAAAGACGATGGAGATGGACAGGACATACATTACGCAAATCGTCAAACTGCATCACGAGGCAAGCCCCAACTTGGAATCCTGAAGGGAAGCGAAAAAAGAGGAAGGCCAAAGAACACATTACGTCGGATAATAGAAGCAGATATGGAAAGGATTGCCCAGTACAAGGTTGGATGGAGAATGCTGGTGAGCGGCCTATGCTCCTTCATGAGGAGTAACAGGCGTAGGTAAAGTAAGTAACCTTTGATTAACATGGATGAAATAACTACTGAGTATCCTGTCTCATTTCAATTTGACGTCTGAAGGGACAAAGTTGGACCACTCAAAATGTCATGTGTAAAAGTTCACTAACTTAGTGAAAAGAGGAAATTAATTAAAAGCTTAAACAGCTAATGATAATGCTGGTATAACTCGTACATCGAAAGAAACCTGTTATTTGAATTTTCAGCTTAGTAAGCATTCAAATATATTCGCAAACAGTCTCAAATATAACTACACACTGGTGCCACGAAGATTCATAAGTTAGCCTCACAGTAACTGAATGAGCATTATTGTACTATGACAACACATGATTTGAGGGTAGATGCAATCGACTAACTTTACATCAAACGACATATGAGAAGCAAACAGTGAGAAGACATGCGGAATGATGTAGATATATGGATATTTTGATGCATATACAAATTCAGTTACTCGATAAATTAATGGAGATATCAAAACCTGCCGGTAGTTCTTCCAGTACCACGAACAGTTGCAACACGTCCACGAACAAAAGTGCCACGCCCGCGAACTTAACGGTGAGTTACTTTTGAACTTCAGAAACTTACCACCAGCCCTTAACATGGCATTCTTCCCTCTTCCCGTTCCTAATCCCTTAGCACCCTGTGGACGTTTCAACATCGGTGAGTTTTTCAGCATATCAGGAAGGATAAGGAATCTGAAGAGACAATAAGTTTTTACGAAGACATACCGAATTTTACTGCCTCGAATATATACCTGTTGAAGGTTTGATGTACGACCGTCACGGGAAGTCATTATTAGATCACACATGTGAACATTCATATTATCTTCCGCCTCAACAAGTTTTCCACGGAAAACTTCACCGCTAACAGTTTCTAGGGTAACGACATGTCCCTCGGCATCGTGTAAAACTTTGATAGGTATACCAACTGACATTGCTTCCACGAAGTTTCAAAAACCGCGCTTACTACCTTGATGTAAATACGAATTTTATTGGAACTATTTGTATTGTGTAGGAGATGGGATAATTTTTCATTTGCGAACCTACAACTATAGGAGTAGTGTTTCAGTGTTAATTTTACGCAGATATTAGTAACTAACCCTTACGTTCATTACATTGTTTACCAGAAAGCTGTGAAATACATTGCCTACGGCCTACGGCCTATGTTATACCCTTTCTAGTATGTTTCTGTGAGTGTCCAGTCTTCTCTTGAATGAGTCAGTTAAAGGTGTGGACACCACTACTCTGGATAACAGGCTCCAAGTGTTACTGACTCTGTATGAAGCCCTGTATGTCATAGGTATTTTGTTAGTTCTTGGCTTTTCTACTCTCCTACTATATCCTTTGAGATGTCCCGGTCTAGTGAGAAGAATAAGAGAGAATATGTCAGGCTCACAATCATTTCGTGGTATTTTATACATCAAAATTAAATATCGCTTCAGTCTGTGATAGGACAGAGTAAAGAGATCAAACGTTTTAAGCCGCTCCTTCCATGGTAAACCACGGAGTTCTGGAATTGCACGGGTACTGCCCTCTGTATTTTTTCCAGGATATTGGTTCAACTTACGGGAACTTTGTGTCAAAACATCTTATTCATCTTTGAGGATGACATTACTCCAGAGACACTGTCTATTCACAAATGTTTCCTTAACTAGAGCCCCAGAAACGATTGAAGACTGGTCAAATGGTGACCGAATGGCATTAATCAAACTAATGATAAAAGGGTTTAAAGCTTGGAGATTATATTCAGCAACCTAAGTTTTTACTATCCATCAAATAAATGGACTTGGAGTTTGTCATCACGACTTTCATAGATTTATAAACAACTGATCATAATTTGAAGTTCAGTCGTACGCCTATAGACAAGCAATAATAATAGTAATGAAAACGTAATTGGTCCCATTTGTAAGGAACATTTGCAGGAAATTAAACAGATTCTCAAGTTTCATGTAATAAATTACTTCAGTAATTAAAAGCAGATTATCATTCAGTGGTAAATAAGTCACCAAAATAAATAACTCTGTAAGTCTTTGACACTGATGCTGACTTCATTAGTTTTACTAGACATATCCAGCTGAAGGCACCTGATCATGCACCCGCACCAGATCACGAGTAGGTATGACGTGCTACGCAACCCTTGCGACTGTTAGGCAGCTTAGACCAAACGCTCCCCGAACATTGATAGTTTTCCAAATATATCGTCAAACCACTTCATTTCTGACTTCTGATTTGACTGGTTTGGCATAATTTGATTATAAAGCCATTACGTGTAAAGCCGCTATAAAAATCAGAATACCTGTGGCGTCTTTTGCCTCATACCTAAAGTAAATATATACACTGAGTTTTGGTGAGGAATATATTATTTGATTGCGGGGCATAACGAATAGGAAATTGGTATTGGAAATATTGATGATATATAAGTGGTTTCAAAAATTAAACAAGTCGTTAGAGACCCTAAATTATCCATAGTTTTAGTCATTTATTTTTATTGAGATGTTTATAAAGGCCAACCGAATTAAATCCATTCATAGCTAGGGTGGATCGATACTAACAGCAGATAATTAACGCAAGAAAACGATTCCCAAATGCATGACGAGAAAAATGAGTGCTTGATTTCACATCAACAGGGTATAAAGTAATATTGTATATAGTTCATTGGATAAAACCTCGAGTAACGATAAATGTCCTCATCTAATTGTAGCATATAATAAGATGCTAATGTTGCGAAACGACCTGATATGTGTATAAGTACGACCCAAGTGTCAGATCCCAAGCTAAGGTATCGGTAGAGGCTAATAAATTCCACAAAATAAGTAGTTATGGAGTGAACAAAAACTTACCTGTGGAAAACCAAGTTTTTGTTGAATCCGAAACTACAGAATGTTTCTGTAACACACCATAACTATACATTCAATGCATTATTTGCACGTCCTACCTAAATTGTTCTTTACATGATTCATGATTTTTCTAATTCTGTCGTTATCGCGATTTTTATATGTTAACATTCCTTCCTTCTTCAAATGAATGTTCTCAATCTTCTGTTACGATACTTTCCACTTTCGATTGGCGTTCGATATGTAGCATATGCTACCGTCAAAAATGTCTTAAAGAGTCTGACTTCACGAGGTGATTATTTATCAACTCTCGCTTTTAGTACATTGGTCAGGGGCATGTGCTCCGTAAAAACTATAGAGTCCCTGCCTTCCGACATGTGTCGGAAATGCTTATTGATTAGGTAGATTGCAAGAAGTTCTCGTCTGAAGATAGAATACCTTATCTCAGCTGGAGCTAATCTTTTTGAGAAGAAAGCAACTGGTTTCCAGGCGATATGAACAGTTGTTGAAGGGTACCGTCTACTGCTTTATCCAAAGCTTCCACCATCAAAGCAAATAGGGAAAAAGAATTCGGATACATCAGCGTAGATGCCTGAGGCCGATTATCTCTTGGCTGTTTACTAGCCTCATAAGCGAACATGAATTCTTTTACTTTCCCTTTAAGGAATTCTGTCAAAGGTCGCATCAATTGTGCACAACCGGGCAAGAATCTTCAATCAAACTTAAAAAGATCCAGAGAACTTCCAAGTTGCTTCAGAGAACTAGGTTTTGAGTATTGTTTAATGCTGTCCACTCCTTCTTTGGTCGGTGTAACCCCCGTAAGCTTGTTGTGTGCCCTAGAAATTCTAGGGTTCGAACACCTAAAACACATTGATATATGTTTATTCTATTTTCATCCAGACGTTTTAATATCGTTCTCACATGCTGTTCGTGTGACCGTAAATCGGGACTCGCAACTAACAAATATTCGAAAAATTCCCATATCGCAATTAAGAACAACATATATAAGTGAACAATATTGTTTTCGATTAGATCCTCATCCGGTTTCACTCAAATATACAGTAATATTTATATGCATATACGAGATTATTAAACCAATCAATGGAGTTTATGAGACAGTGATAACAGTGGAATAAATTACATAAATAAGTGAAAAGTACAAATTGGTAGTGTGGTGATAGGTGTACTAGTTGTGATGAGAATAATAAAGGCTCGAATCAATGTTACATATCGGGAAATAGGTCAACGATTAGAAAAAATATAGAAAATGAAAAAACATTCGTAAAAATTATAAGGTTACGTAACAAGAATTGTTCTGGTAATTGGACTGTGAAACATATATTTGAAAGAAAACTAAAATATAGTGGTCGGAGGGGGTGAAGAAAAATGATAATAAACGAACAGAGAGTATGGAAAATGATAACAAATAAAATCATTTATTAAGATCAAGGAAGAGATAGAAGTGTTACAAATTTCTTATGAACACAAAGACTTGGATTGTTGGCTCGAATTCCTATAGTTTCTGCTGTGTGAGAGACAAGAACGAACACTATAGAGAAAACTAGTAGGAATACGGTAAGCAACTTTAACTGACTTATTTCTGCCTACTACATGCCCACTATTGACCAAGTGTGATACAAACGAGCTGCGTATTGACTTGACAGAACCTTTTCCTAACCACGAGAAGAGGTGTTCACTGACTTTCCGGTCCAGTTGCCCAACATGGCTTTCTTTACCAGGGCAGCTGGAGTCGTAAGTATACATAGAAGTGGCATAACCAGGTAACTTATCCTTTAGTTTGGGAATCGCCGTAGATCGATTCGAATACGACGGACAGAGGTTGGCTGCATTAAAAGTTCTCTTCACTGCTCTAGTCAGTCTATCACGTAATACATCACCAGCTACATTTCCATCAAACTGTAGCTTCAGGAAGAGAGGTTTCTCACTAGCCGCTGATGTTACTATTTTCTTGTTTGTTACACGCATGTGTTTCTTCAGGAAACCCTGTAGATAACCCGTTTTAGTCAACAAATTATGCATGAGCTCTAATTCATTGTTGATTGTATCGACTGGACATATCTCTATTTGGCAGACATTTGACTAAGTTTCTCTTATAATTAAGGGATATAAAGCTTAGGAAATGAGTACATTGACTTGATGAAGAACATTTACTATATACACATCCACTGATAGAAGTATTTTCTTTTCTGTTTAACGAAATGTCAAGAAAATGTATTGCATCGTAGTAGCTGTTCTAGGGATATCTTCTTCATCTACTGGGATATTGTGATATGCCCTGACCAAGTCAATCTTAGTAAATATGTTCATACCATGTAAACCGTTTGGATATAATGTACTGGGTACCGATCCTGTACGGTTCGGAGGCTGAATGATCTATAATCCCCACTCGGTCCCCGATCACCTTCATTTTTTCTTCGGGACCATGACTATCAGAGGGACGGATAATATCCAGCTGAAGTGTGTAGTAGAATTCAGCTCTAAAGATTTTAAGCTTATCTGCTGCTGGTCACTGGGGTCTGAATAGTTGTCTCTAGCATAAAACTGTTAAGGCGCCCCTCCTCCGTGGTCGCGACCTGCGCAGAGGTTATTCATTTACCATATTTGGGGGGTTACGTTTAGGCTAGGCGCATTGTTGCCTGGACTCTGTCGATCTGACACCGAACACCCAGTGATACCAAGGGAACTGCCCAGACAATCAACATTTATGACTTGAGTCCTCGTCGTTGTGATGACCTGCTCCTGTTTCTATGATCCACTGGCCTCAGTGGGACTTTAAACACTCGCAATGAATCCTATGACTGGGCTTTTTGACGGTTCTTCTTTTTGTGTGTGGTTTATCCTACTTCATCCAGTTTAGGCCTCTTTACATCATTCTATCTGCTATTCGCGTCAAATGAGATAAAAAGGTGTCAGGGTCTTGTGAATCCAAACAGTGTTGGAAGTAGCATGGGACAGCTCGTATCCATCCTTGTTTCAGGACTGCTTCACCCACTGTGTTTTCGCCCGCTAAGATTTAAAGGTAACGTAAAAACTGTGACGGGGACCTATCACCTAATGTTTCTCCTCGGAAAAGCCTTTGG